TTACTGTTAGTTGCACAGCTGCGCCAACTCATCCAAATTCTGCCCAAACATCCATCTGCTGCAGCCACTCATAGCATGTCAGAAATTTTTATTCATTGTGTTACTGAAACTTGGCAATCTTTTTCTATTCCTTCAAACATTTCTCCCCTTTCTTTCAGTCCACTTTCCTGAATCTGTACTTCTCTCAATGCAGATTTGCTTTTTCTTCCTGCTTGCTTCCTACATTTCAGTCATCATCTCCCTGTTCTCAATCTCAAGATTCCTTTTCTTGCTTAACTCACATTTGATAAAGAGTTCTGTTGACTTTTTCACTCCCTTCTCTCAACTACTACCTCGCAAAAATTTCTTCTTTTTATTGAAATGTTTAAAGAAGAGCAATCTGAGGCCAGGCAAGAAAAGCAATAGCGAGATGCCAGAGAGCCAGCCTAAAAGCTTGAGCATGTGAACTAGGGAATGGAGTCAACTCCGAAAAGGTAGGCTGAGCTGGGAGCCTGTCCAAAGCTGTCACATGATGGATCCCTACTAATGGGATGGATTAGAAAGATCAATGCTTACATATTTATCACAAATGATCAGATTCCCTAAGACAGCTTTCACTGGACATAACTGATGGGACTACAAATAGATCTGGCAGGCACACTGCAGATTAATACAATTCAAGACAAAAAAATCTTGAAGATCTGATGTCAAGCACGGCTGATTTGTTTTTTTAAACACCATTTTCGAAATGGCCATGTACAGCTTCAGGATTATAACTATTGAAAATACCCACCTTAACTAAACGTTATTTTTGAATTTTCCACCTTCTGCCACTCCACTAAAATACGCCCTCATCATTCCAAACATATGCACACAACTATTAAGCAAATGATTTCACTAATATATTTAACATTCACAGTCCTATTATTCCATGAACTTGTGCAATATTTTAGTCATTGGTTACTTGTTCAATTCATTTCTGATTAATAAATAAACACTGATACTGGTCACGTGATCTCAATACTCTTCAGTACAGTGTACGCATATGAACTTCACTTTTTTGGACATTTATTGGTATCATGCTATGATAAAAAGCAATGTGCAAGCATGTGGAAAGGGCAGAAGCTTCAAACAGAATTTCAATTAGAGAATTCTGAACACGATTGTGAGAAGGAATATGTTGAATGAAAAGGTACAGCAGTAATCAATTTTAAGTCAGGTGTGGATTATTTTAAAGGAGACAACAATGTTAGCAATTTTGAAAGGCCATGGAACTGCACCAGAGAGAAAAAAAACTTTCATCACATTAGCTTGTGCAGAGCCAGGAGTGGTTTCATGGAGAAGGGGTCAAGGGAACGGACCATGAAATTAACTTGGGATGGGGAAACATACAGAAGGTTTGGCTTGATGAGAAAGGAAGAACACAGAAAGATCACAGACCCTTAATAGTGTCCCTAACTTAATTACAAAGAAACCCATGAACTCATAGCACTCGTTAGGAGGTTAAGGGTGGACATGATAGGGGAGATCACTTTAGAGGAAATGGTTGTTAATTCACAATCCTGTGGTGGTCTTTGCGTTCCAGGATGATCTGTGTGTAGTGGATGATGAGGTCAGTGATGTTTCCATCAGCACAATTTCACATGGTTGAACCAAGTATGATGATGAATAACTAAGCTACCTGTGCAGACTCAAGCAACCATGTCAAATTTGGGATTTAAGACAGCAAGGTGGCCCATAATGGAGGAGGGAAAGGATAAAGAATTTAAGGGTTAAGGACAATTGACATGAGAAGGGCATGGGGCAACACGGTGACTCAATGGTTAGCACTGCTGCCTCACAGAGCGAGGGGCCTGGGTTCAATTCCACCCTCAGGTGACTCTCTGTGTGGAGTTTGCACATTCTCCCCGTGTCTGTGTGGGTTTCCTCCTGGTGCTCCGGTTTCCTCCCACAGTCCAAAGATGTGCAGGGTAGGCGGACTGGCCATGCTAAGTTGCCATAGTGTTCAGGGATATGTAGATTAGGTGGGTTATACGGGGATTGGTCTGGGTGGGATGCTCTGAGGGTCAGTGTGGACTCGATGGGCCAAAGGGCCTGTTTCCACACTGTAGGGATTCTATGGACGGCATGATGGAGAAAATCAAAAATTTATAAAGCTAAAATTTATAAATCTATGAAGCTAAACAGTTGGTATAGAGGACTCGAGTAATTTGGCACAAACTTCCTTTTCTGTGGTGGACACAGAAGTGCTGTTGGAAAGCAGGTGCAGAGATATAGATTGTGAGAGAGACAAGGAAGCAATTAACATTACAGCAGTAAAATGGGCCAAGGAAGATGCCATGGTCAAGAAAGTTTTGAAATTGTATTCCTTCATGAGCAGAGGGTGCTGCTTGCTGCATCAGCATTAGTCTCCTAATCTCCCTTGGGAAGGTGGTAGCGAGCTGCCACATGAACTGCTGCAGTCCATATGGTATCAGTACATTCACCATTCTACAAGGAACAGAGAGTGAGGATTTTTGACTCAATATCAGCAAATAAATGCTAAATACAGTTCCAAGTCAAAGTGGTGTGTGACGTGATGATGAACTTGCAAGCAATAGTGTTCCCATCCATCTGTTGCCTTCAACCTACCAGGTGTAGAGTTCATGAGTCTGGATGGTGCTGTCATAAGAGCCTTGGTTAATTACTGTTATGGAACTTGCAAACGGTCCAAAGTGCTGACACTATACGTTGATGGTGAAATGATGTTGAAAGTGGAGGATGGGGTGCCAAGCAAGTGTGATTCTAAGCCCTGGATGATGTCAAGCTTCTTGATTGTTGCCAGAAGTGCATCCATTCATTTATGTGGAGAGTATCCTATCACACCAGTGACTTCAGCCTTGTAGACAGTGGATCAGTTTTGGAGAATGAGAAGGCATGTTACTTACTGCAGAATTTCTAGCCAACAACTTACTCTTGAAGCCACAATATTTACATGGTTGGTCCCATTCAGGTGCTGATCATTGATAACACCCCAGTACTACCTCTGATAGTTCAGCATTAGCAATGGTAATGCAGCTGTACGTCAAGACAACATAGTTAGATTTTCTCAAGTAAGAGACGATCATGGCCTGTCAGTTGTTTGGTACAAATGTTACTTGAATGTTTAAGAAGAGAATGTTACGAATCCAAACCTGGATGTTGTCCAGGCCTTACAACATTTAAACATGTATTGCTTTGGTATCTGAGTAATTGCAACTGGTGTTGAATACTGTGCAATTAGCAGTGAACAACTCCGCTTCTGACCGGATGGCTGAATAAAGGTCACTGAAGCAGCAGTTGAAGATTTTTGGGCTTTGGACACCATCCTGAGGAATGGCTACAGCAATGCCCAGATTGCGATGATGTGCTCCAGCAACCATCATCACCTATCTTTGCAGTTGGTGTGACAGCAGAGAGTGCTTTGATGTCGAGGATAGTCACTCACATGTCCCCTTTGGAGTTCAGTTCTTATATCCATATTTAGACACAGGGTGTAATAAGGTCAGAAGCTAAGTGGCTCTGATAAAACCCAAACTGAAAGCAGATGAGCAGATTATTGCTGAGTAAGTGGTATGTGACAACACAATTGACAACTCTTCCCATCACTTGTCAAATGGGAATTGTCTAAAAGGGATGAGACTAAGAAGGTGGGACCTTAGCTAAAGTGGGAAATGAACCCATGCTGCTGGTGTCACTCTGCATCGCAAATCATCTGTCCAGCCAACTGAACTAACTCCCGAGGACTCCAAGAATTAATGGTATCTCCGAGACAGAAAGGATCTTGCAGTAAGATGTGGGTGTGCAAGAATGTACAATGAAGCTCAACAAGTTGAAAGGATGACCATGGTGAACATGCTATATGAACAAAGTGGTGAAAGAGACCATTTGTGACTTGATGATGATCTTCACGAGTTATTTTGGAAGTTCAACTCATTTATAAGTATTAACGAATGCTGTATCTGTGAGTGACATTTCAGTCAACATTTTATCAATGCAGTCACCAACAATATATTTGTGGATAGCAAGGATTATATTTCCCATTAAACAAATACCTGGAAGGCAAAGCCAAAAACAGTGCTGATTTGTAGTTTCAGTTCAGACAGACAGCGACATGTGGGATGAACAAATTGGAAAAGGTTGTGAAATTAGCTTATAATGGATATACGGGGTGTGGGAAAAGAAAATGGATCCTGCCTCAGGTCAGCAGTTGCTTAAATCCTTGTCCATGTCTTTTTACCTCCAGTTAATTCCAATATACTTCTGGCTGGCCCCTCACATTCTGCCATCCAGAAACCTGAGGTAATTCAAAACACTGCTGGCCCATCACTGTTGTGCTCAATGACTATACTGGGTCCTATTAAGCAATTCATCGATTTCAAAATTCCCATCTTAATTTTCAAATCACCCCTCCCAAACTCCCAAAATGCAACACCCCTGCCCCAGCCCCAGCTCCACAACTCTCCAAGGTATCTGTGCTTTAAATTCTGGCCTCTTTAGCACCCCGCATTTTAATTACTCCACCACTGGTAGTCATGCTTTCAATTACTGGGATCCCAAACTCAAGTATCACCCCAAAACTCTACATCTGTCTACCTCTATTTCTTCTTTTAATATGTTTGTTAAAAGCTCCCTTTGACAAGCCTTTGGCCATTTTCCCTAATGTCATTTTCTTTTCAATAATGCTCCCGTAAAGAACCATGGAATATTGTACTACATTCAAGGCAATATATAAATACAAGTTGGCATTGATCGGGAAATTGGGGTTATTGCTGATAAAAAAAAGTACAAGGTTCCTACATGAGCCGTTCAACTCACACAATCATGGATGTTCCCATATGATACAAGTTTGTGTTAGTGGGTGGATTGAGTGTTTTTCTGAGTAAATCTAAATTGATAAAATGCTTCGCAAATTACTTAAAGTTGAAATATTTCATGGTTAGACATAATACGTTTCAACATGACAAAAATGTTGATCACAATAATTGTTGTCCTACCTGGTAGAGCTGGAAGGCACTATCCCCAGGTATAAAATTCAGTTGTTTATCCACAAAGAATTCTATTGCAATTAATAAATGAAGCACAGCCTTTCCCACTACAGACTTGAATGTCTAAACAAAGAAAAACAAGGAAATAACTTAGTTGAAGCTTGATTGAATAAATGCAGAGCAATTAGAACATCATTTTTGTCAGAGATCGTGAAACAAATGCAAGAATAGATCTGCCTTTGGTGTAAAATACAATACAGGACGCCAACAAATGCACAATGGCATCTCAAAACTGATTTCAAGTCGGCTTAGGATCAAAGCGTGCACCTGATTATGCGCTTTCAATTAAGCTAATTTGAATTAAGCTAGCTCAAATGTCTTCAATTGTATTCTGCATAAAGTCAAAGTCCACTTCTAAATTAGTGATGATTATGATAAAGGTTCAACATAAACATTTTGCTTGGTACGGAATACGACATCCCAATTTAAAATGTATCCTCAATACAAATTTATAGATTAATTTTACAAAAACAAGAAAGCAGAAAACACAAGACAGGGAAATAAATTTCTGATAAATTACAGTGCAGTCCAACTAAAAAATACAGGAAAGAACTCAAATCTCTCAAATTACTGCCAGACACAAAATATGAATTCAAAATATTATTGAGCAGGTACGAAATTTAAAAAAAAACTCAGGCTTGCATACAGCACAGCAGTTTTGGTAAAGAGCTGTTGAGGGCTGCTTGTTTCTTATTGCACCAGCAGTATTTTACTTTGGAAAAGGAGGGGTAGTGGAGAAAAGTGCATATTTAGGAGAGGGTTGCGGTGAGAACATGTTTCTTTTCTGCATTCAGATCTTTCCTGTCACACAAAATTTGTTTCACTATATTTATTAACACAATGATTTGTGCATTTTTCACACGAGGTCAGGAAAAACTGCACAGATAATGCTCAATACATAGACAAGCATACTATCAACACCGAAATGCCCAAATCTCGGAAGTTAAACAAGAGACTTGAAGGAAAACTTCCTGCCTACATTAAAGTACCTTAAATTTTAACTAAAGCAACAAAAATGTAATCTAAAATTAAAAATGAAGAATAGTATGATGCTTCGTGAAATAAACTTAAATAAAGAGAGTTGAAGTCATCCTGCTGGACAGGTTTAAAATAATTCCTTTCAGATCAAACCCCCTGCCTTTTAAAAAGGTAATGCAATAGTGTGTTGTTGGAACTTCCAACATTCAAAAACAGAAAATATCATTATGTAAGAAACTAAATTTTAGAAAGATGAATCAAGTCTTCAATCTGGGTGGCATCAGATGGCAACAGCAAACATGGGTATTTTCTTCAACAACAAACTCAGACAATGCTGGAGAAACTCAGCAAATCTAACAGCATCTGAAGAGAGAGAGAAAAAGAGAGTGAAAATTTTGAATCCAGTATGACTCTTCTTCAGATCGAAACATTAACTCCATCTCTCTCTCCACAGATGCTGCCAGACTTGCTCAGTTTCTCCAGTATTTTTCACATTTGTTTCAGATTTCCAGCATACGTTGAATTTTGCTTTTATTTAGATTAATTGCTTGCTTTGAGCTGTCCAGAAAGATCGGAAGAGCGTCAGAATTTACATCGCCCAAATAAGGGCAACATGCACAAATTTGTGTAGACAAAATATTTACAGTGTTATTATTGAGACTGTGAAATCTGCACAACATACATGAGAAGGGTTTGTAGGAACAGGAGTACCAGTATATTAAAAAAAAATTAATAGTTTCTGTAAAATAATTCACAATCTTTTCACTTATTCATTCCATGGGTTTTGAATAAAGCCCCTCTTACAGGGCACAGTGACTTGGCGGTTAGCACTGTTGCCTGACAGCCTGGTTTCGATTCCACCCTCAGGGAACTGTCCGTGTGGAATTTAAACATTCTCCTTGTGTCTGCATGGGTTTCCATTGGGTGGTACAGTTTCCAACCACAGTCCAAAGATGTGCAGTTTAGGTAGTCTGACCATGTTAAATTCCCCATAGTGTCCAGGGACGTTCAGGCTGTGTAGATAAGCCATGGGATACGCAGGTTCATAAGGATAGGGTTGGGGGATGGGTCAGGGTTGGATGCTTTTCAGAGGATCGGCATGGACTCGATGGGCTGAATGGCCTGTTTCCACACTGTAGGGATTCTATGATTCTCAAACACAAAAACGGAACTCTTATTATTAATAGTCTTAAAAAGATTCAGGCATTACAGAATTTAAACCAACAAAGCAGAAACTTCTAGCTCTAACATTAGAGTGGGGAACTGTGACATCATCCCAAGAATTACTTAAGTAATTAACATGCTTTGGAACTTTCTTTGGAGCAATAACTCAGAACTGGTAGCGAAGAACACTGTAAAACCTCCAAACTGTTCCATTAAATGAGAAGATGTGGGCGTTAAGATTCAAAAGCTTGTTCCAAAAGCCTATTTTATTTCAATAAACAGCTTGATGACAGTTTCTGTAAGCAGATGGCATCTTATAAACACTTTTACTGTCTGTTGCACTGAAGTAGCCATGTTATGCAAAGTTTGTATGCACTGTGCTTATTTTTCTCTTGATCTGCAACAAATTTATTATGAAATTTGAATTCCTCCCAGACTGGAAACCTAGGCCACCACTGAAGTTGTGCTCCCCCACTGTGCCTGAAATGCTACCGGCCTACATTCCAGATGTCTGAATTTCATTTTAATTGCTCTTCCTGCAAGAATCTTCAAAGCCTTAGCCACATTTTTGAAATCTTTATTAACTTCAAAAAGTTTATTTGTCACATTCCCACACCAGGCTTTGCGTATTAAAACCTCAACTGATGCCTCAATTCTCACTGAGCATTCCAAAATCCTTCCGCTGTGCTCCATTGTCTAGTGTCATCCATTACCACATTGTCGACCTTATCTCATCTTTACCTGTTGGTTAAACATTCAACCTCAATAAAACCCCAAACCAATTCCAAGGCCTTTACAGTGATCCCCCCACCAGCTGTTAGCCTCTCTAGTATTAGACCGAGTTAAATATACATCCTTACTTCCTCGAAGGCTATTTTTTTCAAATCTGTCAAAAATCATCATAATGCGGACACATCCTGCAATCGTTAGTTACCAACTATCTCCCATAAACTTGTTAAATCATGCCTGTTTTTTTATGAAACACTGCAGCTGATTCAGCATGAATAACGTCATAAGCAATTTGCATTTGCTGGAAACCTTATCGCACTTTACTACAGATGAGTAAATTTGATAGGAAAGGAGAAAGTTCATTATTTTGCTCAGGATCCTTCGAATCTAGAACCTGAGGCATTTTCCTGGTACAGTTTACATAAACAAATGAACAGATTGACACAAGATGTTCACAACCAGACCGGGCTTTAAATGGAAACAGCAGTTTTGCCACAGCAAAATAACACATGAAAAGCCTGACTGATCATCTTTCTGATGATTAAGAAAAAAAACTTCAATAAAAAAAGCAGGCTATATAATAGCAGTTGAGGAGAGTTCTAAACTGACTTCTAATTTCCAAAAGATGTATACAAAAATGCTTCAACACAACTGATTCATCCAAGAGCACGAGAGATATCCATGCCTGTTCATGTACTTATTATGGTTCTCTACAAACATTACAGCTTAGCCAAATGTTTAGAAATCAATTCATTGTTACAAAAATGATAATGACCGATGTAACTACATGGAAAAACACGTGTCCCTAAATTAAATTTTTAAAAGTAGTCCAATTTTAACAAAGGATTGTAAAGGAGATGCAAGTCCCAGTCATGCCATCGAGAAAATTTGGGGCAGCACAGTGGCTCAGTGGTTAGCGCTGCTACCTCACAGCACCTGGGTTCGATTCCAGCCTTGGGTGACTGTCTGTGTGGAGTTTGCACTTCTACCCATGTCAGTATGGGTTTCCACCAGGTGCTCTGGTTTCTTCCTACGGTCCAAAGATGTGACGTTTAGGTGAATTGGCTATGCAAGTAGTGTCCAGGGACGTGCAGGATATGTGGATTAGCCATGATAAATACAGGGTTACAAGGAGAGGGTGGGGGCTGGGTCTGGGTGGTATGCTCTACAGATGGTCAATGGCAGACTCAATGTGTGAACAGCCTCTTTCCGCATTGTAGGGATTCTATGATTCTACAATTCTGAAAAATCAGCTAAATTAAAGGATTGTAGCTCTTTGGTATTACTTCTAATCTGTGACAATCTATCCCAGAGTGAAAACTTTCATAACAACCACAAATTACTTTGCACTATGGACCCAAAATCCTCAACAAAGGCCTGGTAAAGGCCAATCGATATTTTGGCGGTTTGAAACCACCCTTCCCAGCAAACCTTAAAATTTGCAGATGCAGACCTCAGTCAACCCTTAGCCAAAATATTTGTTGACAACTGCCAAAAGAGGCAGTATTTAAAACTGCACCTCTACCTCCAAGGTTCCAGTCAGAACCATTTCCTCCGGTATGTTCATTTTCTCCAGACAGCAAACTCATTTACCACAACATGTTGGCCCAATGCAAAATATAGCATCAGCAGCAATGTAACATCAGTGTAGTGTGAACATAATGTTGCATATCATGAAGCCTCAATACCTTTTTTTAAATGTTCAACTAAGTTAATAGCTGAATAATCAATTTACCAGTTCCTCACGTATTTGTCATTTGCATCTTCTCATCCTGATTCAAATTATGGCAATAGGCTAGAATAATCTGCTCAGTAAACACAATGCGCAATTTCGTGTTATTCACAATTTGTAATCACAATGTGATGCTCTTCCATTTGTGATGCTATTTTAGAAGCTAAACCAAAGAAATATTATGCCAAATAGATATAATTTCTTCATAAGCAAAAAGACACTGAGTATGAATTCTCAGGGACATGATAATTCCTGACAAATTGTTGAACATAAGTAGCAAATGAACTGCCCTATGCAATCGCTGTAGCCTTTCCTTCAGGTTTTGTATGAAAGTCATTGGTTGTGGAATTTTTTTCTTCATTTAATAGTTCAATATTTACTATTGTCAGTGCAGCACAATTCGACAAAACCTGATTTTGAAAATTATGTTCCTTGCTTTAAATGAAGTTTATGAATTATTTTGTCATCTATGTTGCACTTCTTTCTCCATCTCCTGCTACCAAAGAGAGTGGAGTTGCATCCAGAAGTGGCAAATAATTCCACTTCAGTTTCAACCTCGAAATCTTTTGCCACTATGATGCAGTGTCCCCATAACCAATCATCTCTGCATATACTAAGGCAAAAAATGCCACCCTCATCTAATCAATACCTAAAATTTATTCATTCAATGTCCAGTCACCCAATGTAATCTGCTTTCTCCCAATTTTATCTCCACCTTTCCTGAAGACACTTTTTGCTCACATTGATTGAAATGACTTTGTCCAAGTGGTAAATCTTGACGTGTGAGCCTCGAAAGTACATCAGGAGGTAGCATGATGGTGACAGCTCTGAAACTAAAGTTCACCATGTCCTAAATTTTCAGCTTCATACAGCGATCAGGAACTAAAGACTAGGGAGGCATTTATATAGTGGTGCAAACAAATTGTAACACTGGCTGAGCCTAACCCAGCTTAGAATAGTAGAAGAATTATTATTTAGTTGCACGAAATAACAAAATTAGTAGAAATTATTATATCTTCCCAAAAGGCTTCCGTTATTTGAGACTAATTCCTGGACTCTGGTGGTATATCCAGAAGCCTGTCCTGAACAAAGACAAAAAAGAACAAAAGAGAAGCACAACACAGGAACAGGCCCTTCGGCCCTCGAAGCCTGTGCTGATCATCATGCCGTTGCTAAACTAAAAAACAAACCTTCCGCCCTTATTCAGCCTGTATCCCTCTGTTCCCTCCCTATTCATGTAACCATTCAGATGCATCCTAAATGTCGTCAGTGTGCCTGCATCCACCACCTCTTCTGGCAGTGCACTCCAGGCTCCTACCACTTCCCTCGCACATCTCCCTTAAACATTCCCCCTCTCACCTTGAGCCTATGCCCCCTTGTCGTTGAAACTTCAATTCTGGGAAAAAGCCTCTCACTATCCATCCTATTTTTGCTTCTCAATTTTACAGACCTCTATCAAGTCTGCTCTCAGAAGCTATCTTTACAGTGAAAACAATCCTAGCCTTTTTAACGTCTCCTAATAGTCAATGGCCTCCAGACTGGGCAACATCCTGGCGAATCTTCTCTGCGCTCTCTCCAAAGCTCTCACATCCTTCTGGTAGTGTGGCAACCAAAACTGCACATAATACTCCAAATGCAGCCTAACAAGGGTTTTATATAGCTGCAACATGGTTTGACAACTCTTGTACTCCATGCCCCAGCCGATGAAGGCAAACGGGTCATATGCCTTCTTAATCACTTTGGCCACCTGTGTTGTCACATTTAGTGCGGACCTGCATGCCCAAATCCGTCTATATGTTAATGGTAAGATTTGCTTGTTAAAATCTGCAGATGCCAAAATGTTCTAACAACTCAGCAAGTCAGACAATTTTAATGGAGTGACCCCACATGTTAACATTTCAAGGGGTGGGGCCCTTCATCAGATCTAATGAAGGGATGCACCTGAAATATGAACTTGTCTATTTTCTCCACAGATGCTACCTGACTAGCATTTTCAGATATTTTTATAATAAGATCCTTTGTCAAAAAGGTATGAAAAGGTTTTATAAGTATGAAGAGATAATCAGCATAAGTCACACAATAATGTAGTCACAGAATTATGCAATACATATCTATGCTTGAGTGTGAAGTGGTAGTTTACAACCTGCCCATAAATGTTACGTTTTAATCTTGAAAATGTTAGATACACAACAACTTGTTTCTCTGAACAATGGACACTGAATAGGAAATACTGTACAAGATTACATTTTCATGATGATTCCTTTAACAACAGTAACTTTTGACAACCACTAACATGACGTTATCAATCATGTAAAATCACTATCATGAAATGAAATTTATAAAGAACAAAAAAAAGCTGTTCATTAAACTTAAAGATGACAAAGTTCTTCTAGGTCAAACACTGTAGCAAAACAGCCCAGTTGTCATTTCAGTAGCTATACATATGTGAAGAGCACCAAGTGATTGAGTTTCACTGGATCATTTCTGCTTCTATAGGTGTCTACAATAGTGCCATAGAAATTGACTCTATGGCACCATCACAGCAACCAGTAAGAGGTCCCTGTCACCAACAACAGATCGTGTATAATAGGTAAGAAATTGGAGCTTGGACACTGCTAAAAGCACAGAGTTTTGACTTTTAGACTGGTAGCTTGCCGGCTTGCAATGGTGGGAGTACAATGTGCAATGATTTATGACATGAACCTTGAATCTGCAAAGGGAAAGTGATTGTGTATACCGAGGCAGTTCAAATGAAATTTTGAAAATCCCCACAAGATGGATAAAGCCATTAATTTAACAAAGCAAATGCATGTCATTCAGTTTCATCAAAATTGAGAGAACGTTGTTTACATGTATAAGTTCATCTTCATTTAAAACCTACACACAGATTTGAGCAGGACCTTATTTTGTTAACTGAACAGCAAGAAAAAGATCAATAACTTAGTTCTACTTCCGAATCCTCTCAAAGATGCCATGTTTACAATCAATGAGAATCCTTCCATACATTGCCTAAGTGTAGAATGAAGGAGGATAATTTTAACAGCAAAACATGACCCTGCCTTCACCCAACATACATATAAAAGTTGCCACAGTCATATTGGACTATAAGCCTGCACTCTTGAAAGTTCACCAATACATGAAAAGCCACACCACAATCACAATCTTGCACTTTACAGAATCCTTCACAGCTGCCTAACCTTCAGGTGTCTATACTTCAGAAGAATTCGTGCTAAAAAATTATAGCCTGAGCTTTACAAAAAAAAAACCATAAATACAGCATAAGGGAGTGGAACAGAATGTAAAGAAATGATGATGGACTTCAAACATAATTGAGGTATCCAGTGCCCTTGCAACTCAATCCCAGGCTACCAGCTTACAAAAGTTCCAAATGATGCATAGTGTGATTGTACAAATGCAGAGTGAGACTAAATAGAAAACACTGTACTAAAACACAATAAGGGTAATCATTGGTAAAACAGAAGAAAATGTTTCCAACCTATAAATAGATGAAGCTAACACAGCTGCAAGCAGATGAACAACTGGGACGAGTTTGAACCTGTCTAAACACAGTTCTATTAATAAATAAGATCTTAATGGAGTCCTACCCAGAATGCATCTCTGCTGCAGTGTTTAGCCAGCCAGACACCCAGATTTGCAAGACTTATGCATTCTTTGCAGCCTACATGATACTCTAACTACGGAAATGTCTACAACAACTGTATCCTGTTTTGGGCTTGGTGCAATACCACATTCCATTCACATGAAAACAGATGAGCTCTGACTGAAAAGACTTCCATATTTAAAAATCAGATGCTTTAATCAAATGACAACATGGATTTATTTGCAAACTTACTGACCAGAAGGTTAAGTGAACGTTGTAACTTTCAGTTAAATACTTTTTACATACACTTTGGTAATCTACACGTTTGAAAACGTGAAAAGCTCATTAAAAACCGATTATCTAAACAACATTTTATTGTACGCTTAGCAAATATAAATTTTACAAAAAGCATAGTTACAGAAATATCTCTGTTGTGCACTGATTATTAATATTCAATGCCGGGTGTACCACCTATTGATAGAAATTTTAAAAATATATTTCAATTGCAACTTCATCGACAAGTCTCGTCACAGCAATCCAGTCTCATTATGCAGACATGTTGGAATGTCAAAGTCCAGCTGCCCACCCATTCAGTCACCACATGCGAGAAAGCGAGGTTACGCTTCAACAGCTTAAGCGAGTAACGAAAATTGTACTTGTACTTCGTAACCTTCCAACGACACTCATTTGAAACATCTGCCTGTTTTTATTTTACTTCACATTTCATGAAGAATTAAGAGTTTGTTCTGTTGTGTGCACAGTCCCATTGACGCGTGTTAAAACAAATCAGCCTCACCAAGGCAAAATATTGTTCACCGCGGTTTCAAATAAAGACCGCTGGACTTAACGTTACCCACCTAACAATCCACTCCAATTCCTGCAACGCAGGAATAACACCAGCAAAGCTATATTGTCTCTCGGAATTCCTCACGTTTCTGCGGCCAATATACACTCAACTGTCCACGATCACATAGGCCGATTTTCAGGCTAAGGATGATAGACTTCCGATCAGAACACGTTCACTCGCGGGGTCAGTGACCCATTTCTGATCAAACAGAATCGAAAACAAGTTGAAGGCGGCACGTTACATTGCAACCATTCGGTACTGAACATTCTCAACATATTGAAACTTAAATTCAATGTTTAAAAAAAAAGGATCTTGGGAAAAGCTACCACGAATACCTCAGTTCTGTCTTCCTCTCCCACACGGCTGAATGCGTAGTGTGCAGAGGCGGATCACTGATCCCCCTTTGTCATCATTACGTACTGTTAACGAATGAGAAACCCCGCAACTGCTACCCTCACTGTAAAGATCTAGGTCACAAACATTACACTGTGATTGGTTGTCTAGTCAGTTGTCCAAAACAGATAAGCGAAAACAAGCAACAGAAATTAATGAGCCTGTTGTGTGCCATGAGCAGGACTGAACACGATCAGAATTCACTTGGTCAAAATCGACTGCACAGGGGCACGAGTAACTCTCCTTGTACCATTAGCTCGAACGAAGCGGAAAAGGGCGGTGCTTCGAAATAAATCCAAGTCACAGGTGGCAACAGCCACTTCCAGCATGAGTCATGTAACTGATTACTCATTGTCTAACTGAAGACTTTCAGAGGTGCGTTGCTTGCTGCAGCAGACAAAAAAAAGTATCATATCAACGATGACGATTTTCGATTGGTTTCCTTGCCAGCAACAGCCTAACGTATCACTTTCCAGACTTTTCTGAAAGGGGATGCATTAACACGCTTTTCCCCTCAGATATTACCAGCCCTACTATGAATAATCCCTTTTGTTTCCAGACTTCCAGGGTTTTGTTTTCACAAATTACTTACGTACTCGGCCAGGAAATTCTAATGGATGTCACTCTACACTTGGTTTTACCTCAATCCACTCGCAGGAGGAGGCCATTCGGCCTACTTTGCCTGCACTGACTTTCCAAATCAGCAATTCACCCACAACTATTTCCCAAACCCCATCTTCCAGTAATCCCTGCACGGTGTTCTTTTTCAGATGACCTATTCTCCTTTGATTATATCTACTAAAACTGCCTCCACAACACTCTCAGTACATTGCAAAACTTGACCACTCAGTGAAAACGTTTTTGTCATTTTTGATTTTTGTGCCAATTATTTTTATTCTGTGCCCCCACATTCTCCATCCATCAACAAGCAACAATAGTTTCTCCCCATCTCTGTCCAGATGCCTCATAATTAAGAATTCCTCTATCATAACTCTTCAGCTGTCCTTATGTCTCCATTCTGTCTTCATAGCTCAAGTTCCTCATCTCTGGAACCATCCTTATTAATCTCACCTGCACCATGGCCTATGCCTTCACATCTTTGCTAAGTGCAGTGCCCAGAACTGGATATAATATTCCGGTAATAACCACTTTGAATGCTTTACTAACTGCATTCTCAATATGTCTTGTCACTTTCAATGATTTATACACGTATATACACCCACGTCCTACTGCTTCTGTGTCCCATTTAGAGTTGGAGCTTAGATAATATCTTTCTATGCTCTTCAACCAAAATGAATTATGTCACATTTCTCTACATTAAACATCAATGGCTACCATCTGCCCATCCTACCAAATAATCTATGTCCTTATAGGGTTATAGACTAAACTCCTCACAGTTCTATGATTACAACCCAGGTTAACCGAACTCCTTTCAGGGTCATCGATGACTAAAGTAATAATAATTGTTGTCATTGCATGTTATAGCCTACTGTAAATAATAGACAGATATTTAGCAATAAAAAACTGAAAATGAGACATCAAACAGATGGTCTGCTACCAACTGTGGAACCAGATAAGGTAAAATAAGATAAAGTTTCCAAAGTGCTACTCAATATCCAAGATATCATTCAATATATTATTTGGGGGTTATGTAATTTCAGCATTTGCAGTGTTGTTGATTTGTCATGAACTTGTACTTGCAGAGTTGTATTTAGTCATCAGTGTGTGGAACATAAACTAGAATTTAGAATCCAGAATGGAGGAGGAAAAGGAACTTATTCTGTCTCAAGTGAAAACTGATGCTCATACTGTGTTCAGTCTGACGATCCAGCATAATCTGACCCTTTTTAAGTGGATATCTGGTCCATGCTGAAAAATGAGCAGGGGTTGTGGGACAGTAGTTCCATACCATAAAACTTAACACAGAACTTTCTTTGTCTGTCTGCCACTTGCAGCTCTCCATGATATCAAGAGCCCACAGTACCCCATATTAACTAACAATCCATGACCTTCAATTACAAATTTGGCAAAATGCCAGGAAATGGTTATAGTGGTAGTGGATAATTAAATTCTGCTGTATTAACACAGGCAAATCTGTTTATAGCAGGAAATCCATTATCTACCATAATTATTAAATTAATTCATACATTAAGATAAATTATTGTTCATTTTAATCAAATGTAGCATTATCAGTTAACTTGATGAATATATTCCACAGCTGTTATGTTGCAAAGCTGTTGCTGCATCAGGAAATGTGTCTGAATCCAGTGCAGTACAGTTAACAGACAAAGATAATGTTAAAATAAAAATCAAAATTTGTTCAAGGAGCCAGCCATGAAGGGGCTTACATTTATTCAGCACATTTCATAACATCAGGTATTTCCAATGTGTTTTACAGCCAATGAAGTATTCTTGAAGTGTAATTATTGTTGCAATGCAGAAAACAGGGCAGCAAATTTGCCTGTAGACAATGTGATAATGACCAGATGATCTGTTTGTGTTGTTGATTGTGGGCTAAATATCTCCAGGACACCAGGAAATGCTCTTGTTTGAAACAGTACCCTACAGACTTTAATGGCTAGTACAAGACAGCACTGCCTCATATTATTCCAGAATGACAACCTTCATTTTTGTGCTTAAGATTCTGGAAAAGGACTTCCATCCACAAGGTTTTGACTCCAAAATGAGAGTGCTACCAAGTGAACCACAGCTGACACAGCATTCAAATAATTTAAAATGAAAATGCTTAAATATATTGTGAAGATTATCAGCTCTCATGAGCGACAAGAACAGATGAATAACAATTGGAAGGGGAGAGGTTTCACAATATTCTGCAGTTGTGCTGAGGCAAATATGAAATGTTGCAAATGTGATGGAACATTAAAATGAATCAAAAAGAAAAAAGAAGGCTGATGAAGGTTGGAGCTTTTACTAAGTACTTTAAACAAAATCTGCATCTTTCTCAATCTTTTGGATGCTATTCATCAGCTGGGCATTTTCAGGGTATTTATATCATGCAGAGACAGGGCAAGGGGAGAAGATATTTCTCTCATTCATGCTGGCATGTTTCTAGCCAGGGTATGAAAATAGTTATGAAAATATCACTGCTCACATTGTTTTAAGGTAATTTGTTCATCTAAAAACATCGTGCCTAAACAATTTGTGAAACTACCTTCAGAAGATTGATTAAGGGAGTCATCACTACTGCCGAAACATTTCTGAAATTTCAGAGCCTCTGCTTCAGACAACCCGATTAAAATCCCTCTAAACAATATATTGTGATTGAAACAACTTGACTAAAAGTGTAATCTTCAAGGTTCACAGATTGAACCAACCCATAAAAAGCAAGCAAAGAAAATACAGTATGTCAACAAGGATTATTAACTTCGGGAAGGGAGGTAGAAGTAAAATTTAATATGTTGATACAAACTTTGTTGGGCCAATATCTTGATATTTTCCCCCTCTCTTGTATGACTGAACTAATTCTCACAAGGAAAGTTACATTACACCTTCCAATTGTTGCTCACTCAAAAATTCCATCAGTGCATAATTATTTTAGAGATGTATGATACCTCATTGAATCAAAAGAGGCTGTACCGCTAAAAATACACTACCACCGACACAAATCCCACTTTCCTGCACTGAACCTACAGCCTTGAATGTTATGACACTTCACGTACTTGTTCAAGTACTTTTCAAAGGTTGTGAGGTTTCCTGTTTCAAATACCCTCCAAGGCAGTGTATTACATACACGAGGAAAAAATTTTTCCTCAAGTCCCCTCTAAACCTCTTGCCTTTCAGTTTAAAATTATGCCCCCTTGTTTTTGACTTTTCAACTAAGGGAAATAACTGTTTTCCATTTACACTCTCCATGCCCCTCATCTTCTTTTTCACCTCCAGTCAGGTCCCCCTTAACTTTCTCTGCTCCAAAGAAAACAACTTGAGCTTATCCAGTCTCTCAATTGCTGAAATGTTCCATCCCAGGCAACATCCTGGTGAATCTCATTTGCAACCACTCCAGTGCAATGACATCCTTCCTACAATGTGATGACTCGAACTGCACACAGTACGTCAGCTGCGGCCAAACCAATGATCTGTACAGCTGCAACATGACCTCCTTGCTCTTATAATGTATGTCACGAGTGATAAAGGGAACCATCCCACATGCCTTTGTAACTATACTAATAACCTGTCCAGCCACCTTCTCAATTTGTTTTCCATAAACTACCATCAACTGTCAGAAAGAAATTAGAACATCGCCAGCAATGCATCAATTTGTTCCCTCAGTGAAATTGATGGAAAATTGTCCCCATTTTAAAAATGAATCTTTTTCAAGAAAATCTTGGAAGTCTTCTTCAATTAAAGGGAAAGTAATCATAACGGAAGAGCACAAGTACAATTAATATCAGAACGTGTTATGTTTTCTTTCTCAATCCATGAAAGTAAAGAGAACGATGAACAATTTTGGAAAATAAATACTGTTTTTTAACTGATTCATTCTTTTACAGTTCTGCAGTTACGAATGAGAAGGTGAATCATGAACCAGCGAATAGAAGCAGGCCAGTCGTGAAATATTGCACATCTCCCCAGACATTTGTACTGTAGGAAACTGCAATCAGGACAACAGCATTCAGCACAATTTGTTGGAGTTTTTCTCCTTCAGGTTTATTATGATAAAGTTCACAGAAAACCAGTTGTTTCAAACAGCTGTTAGACATTGATTGATGTACAGGCAAAGATCCGACACAGCCTTGCCTGCAATGGAGCATGACCAAAATCAAATATTAATTGTGACAAGGTATTTGCACATCTGACGATCTGGATTGTTACTAAACAGTTAGCCTTCATTTGGCAAAAGGCCAAAGCTGCAATTGTCAGAAATAGTGTGTTAGTCTTACCATTTTTGATCCAAATGGTAAAAATCACGACTTCAGCAATTGACTGCTTGGTACCACATAAGCCATGATTTATGTATTTTTATAGTATCGGGAAAATGTCTCCATCAACCAACTCCCATCTCCCTAGGCTAATTGGTCTGATTTTGCACAGCTCACACACTAGAGCATTTTAAGAAACATTACTCATGATAAACTAGTCATATATCAGAAAATATTTACCACAGTATTAATCCTAAACTATTAAATTAAACCAAAATAAAACTGTAAATTTGCTTCCAAAAGACACAGAAGTAGTCAGCCATTCAACCAATCGAATCTGTTCCACCAACGAGATAATGGCTGT